AAGTAAGTAAGTAAGTAAGTAAGTAAGTAAGTAAATAAATACATAAATAAATAAATACATACATACATACATACATACATACATACATAAATAAATAAATAAATAAATAAATTGCCCAGTCGTAATTTCCAGGAAATCAAGGCAAATGACAGAGGAAAAGGCAAATCAGAAAACCTCAGTTACATTTTGATTTTTTAGCAAGGCGAACTTGCAGCTGAGGAACTCACCGGATCAAGATAACAAGGCAGCAATTCTGCCAGGAGCCTTTCAGTGGAGCTGCTCACCTCTGAAGGTTTGAGAATCACACAGTTCCCTAGTAGGGGGGAGAGAACACTGTAACCCAGCTGCAACAGTTGAGCATCCACCACATGCCTGGATCTCTTGGAAGATCCAATGTCTAAAATGAATTAGCAGATAACTTCTCACTCACCTGCTGCAATGGCCCCCACGAGGGGCATCAAAGTGAGGTTAATAGGGTAGTTAAAGGCTCCAATGATCAGCACCACACCAAATGGCTCCTTGCGAATGAAGGCATGATCCAGCTGTGTGAACTACATAAAAACCAGAAATATGCAAGAAAGCAACTGGGTGAAGCAGAAAGGAAAATTAAAAGAAGATTTTGTAGGGGTGGAAACACTTGAGGAGCTACAAAGTATAACCCCCTTGATGTCTGCTTTCAGACCAATCTTTGCTCTAGCGCATATAAGTTAGCAGTGTTTATCCTCTTTTCTTTATAAAGGCAGTGCAAGGCTTGAATAGCACTGGACACTGAAAAGCTGATGCTGAAGCACTTCCATTTTCAGTCCTGTATTCTTTATTTGTTTAGTTGGTATTTTGTTTAATCTCAGTAAGATTTGTCCTTGCTATCTACATCAGGTATTTCTGACATAAAAAGGTCTCTTCCAGAATAATTGATTATGAGTGGGCAACTCTGTTGCAGTTTGGAGAGCTCATACATACACACACAGAGAGAGTATATGCGCTTGCTCTCCAGGAAGCATGGTGGACTATCTCATTGGAGTGAGTGGGCTAAAATATTAGAAGTCCTAGGAATTGTGAAAGATATATTGTTATACTTGGGGGAAATGGTTAAGGAATGGAATGGTTGCCTTAAGCCCCCATTAGGCTTACAGGTCTTTAAACCTCCAACCTCCCCCAAACCCATATTACAATTACAATTCAGCCACATGTGAGTTTAATATCTAAATTGTGGGGAAATGCCAAAATGTTTGGTCTTATCACACCATCCACAAGGCTCTGAGGGCATCAGGGAGGATTTATCTCAGATATGGGATTCTAAAAAATGTTCTCTTAAAGGTCAATCCCCCTGAAAGTAATTGTAAGGAACTATGTCAGTTGTAGGTAGGACCAAAGAAACAGTTCAGGTTAGGGCCAATCCAAGCATGAATGGAGTGGTTCATTCTCTTCTGGTTTCCTTGTTTTCCTCTTTCTGACACTCCTTTCTCTTTTTCTCTCTCACCACGTAGCAGGTTTGAACAGATTATTCCTACTAGAGGCTTGAATCAATAGCCTGCAGACAGCTTTCAAATCAGGCCATAGGCTCCATGTTGCTACACTTGCCTTAGATGATATGTGCATGTATATGTGCACATAAGGATGTTTTCACACCTAACACTTCAAATCTTTTAATCTCTCTGGCACTGTGCACAGATGAGATTGCTGGCCACACAACTAGGAAGCAAACACTAGCAATAGTAACTAGGGATAATTGAGAACTATGAAGATTACAATTTGATTTATTTGGAGGGCAATGGGTTGGGAAAGGCTGTTCTAAACCAATGTGACTTTAATGAATCTAAACTGGAGTGCAGAAGTTATCCTACAAAAGCAGCTGGAACTTGTTCCTCCGATGGCACAGCATGTATGACCCTAGAGACCATCATTTGGAACCTGCTCCAGGACGTTTACATATCAGTAACCTGACAGCATCCTGGTATGTTAGATTACAGATCTCATCATTCCCAAACATCATGGGAAGGACATCAGGTAGGGGAGGGTGAAACATCAATACCCTAGTAGTGAGTCTTGCCTTCCAATATGAGCATGCACCTGTTTTGAAAGGGCACAGATAGAAAGTCCATCTTCAGTCTGATGAGATAATTAACCCTTCAGACCTTCAACCCTTCAGACCTTCATCCCTGTCCAACCTAGAACCATTCTTTTCCGTTTCATCTCCTCCCACTTAGTTTGACTCCTTACCAGGCTCTTGTGCACATATTCATCCTTCATCCAGTGGCTTAAGTTGTTAAGAGCCTCAGCCAGTTCATTTCTGACTAAGAGAATCTCAGTGAGCTCAGTTTCAAAGCAGGGCTGTGGAGAAGAAAAATAAAATGAGATGCATCAGTGATGTCCCTACTGGCTTCAAGAGGTGAACTTTGTAGCAGCTCTTCAGTGAGCAAATCTTGGGTCTCGTTCATTGCATGGTAGTGCTTTATCATGCAATCATCCTAACTGATTCTGGAAATGTAATCTTTGGACTTTACACCAGGATATGGCACTAAGTTTTGTTCTCTTGATAATTAACCCTTAATCAGGTAGAAGACTCATAAACTCAGCTACAAATGAAACCATATATAGCCAGGTGAATTGATGCAAAGAAATCAAAGGCTTTATAAGTTTAGACTTTTTCTTCCCACCTTTCTGAGATAATGAATACTTTACTGTACTCTTGACCATTTAGGAGGCATCTCAACTATGTTTACATAATGTTTTTCTGTAGTCTGAGAACTGCATAACTTTTTCATGGAAAATCCACTGAAGGGAAAAATGGAATAGCTGCACAATGTCTATCAACTGGTAAGCACGGCCTTGATCTGCAAGTCCCCTCTGAGCTGTTAGATGCTCTGGCTGGATGGCCCACTCACCTTGTGTAGGTCTGCACACAGGGCATGCTGGATATCAGCCTGTCTTTCCTCCAGAAAGTGACACAGGCCCTCCAGCTGTTTTACCCGATATTCCATAGGACGTGTCTTTCCTGTCCACCAGACAGCACGTAAGGACTCCACTAGGCCAGCGTAGGGGTTTTCACTAGAAGAAAACAAATACTCATTGAATCCAAATGGCTATGGAAGAGTCCCACTCCTTAGGTCGTTTGTGTTAACCCTGGCCCTGGAAGGCAGGATGCCCTGTAGGAACTGGATGGATAACTGGTTTGCCTTTCTTTCATTTTCTAACCCAGTTTGGAAGTTTCTGCCATGGCTCAATACCTTTTTAGCTTCCCAGCACTTCATAAAAAGACTTCTACTTCAGAGAAGGATCCAAATAATATTTTTCTCTTGTGACTAACACTTGTGTCATTATTTTTGTGAAGAATGACATCATCTTGGGCGGAAGTAAGAATAGCTACTCTCATACTTTTCTCATAGTTTTCTTATTTTTGAATGTGACAAAACTGTATTTGAAAGTGAGATTATGTACTAATGACGAACATACTAATGACGTTCACCCGAAAAGGGTGTGAAGCAATGGAAACCCCGCCTCCTGCGCACGCCAGCTGGGCTCTGCTCTAGGAAGGAGGCTCTGGCAAACCACTTTCGAAAAAACTGCCTTGAAAACTTCAAGGACTCGTCCAAGCAGACTCTC